TAAACCTGTCTCCACATGGACTAGAGGCCACCCACGGTACTGCAGCCTACATCCACATGGACTCTAAGCCATAGACTGTGAATATTAACGGACGTAGTGACGATTATTTCCTGCGTTGAAATGTATGTGCGATCGACACGGACCTTTTCAAAATGGCCGCAAGTAGTGGTCAAAACCCACGGACCTCTCGGGACGCACTTACGGACCGTTCAGTAGAGACGCACGGACTTGGCGGGGAAGTCAAAAGGGAAGAGCAGGAGCGGAAAAACGACGCCCACAGGAGATAAACTTTGCTCAACTTTTCCTCGGGACGTTCGTGCAGCGACCAATCAGAGAGCAGCAAAGTGGTCACGGGGACATTAGTCTGAGCGAGCAGACTGAACATACTGTAAACAGCCAAACCAGGACTAAACCAGGACTAAACCAGGACTAAACCAGGACTAAACCAGGACTAAACCAGGACTAAACCAGGACTAAACCAGGACTACACCAGGACTACACCAGGACTAAACCAGGACTAAACCAGGACTAAACCAGGACTAAACCAAGACTAAACCAGGACTAAACCAAGACTAAACCAGGACTACACCAGGACTAAACCAGGATTAAACCAGGACTAAACCAGGGTTGACAATGGGGGACTATGTGCTTGTGAATATATGCGTTGTCATGGTCCCGTGACTTTATGCAACTGCTTCGAGTGTGTTCACCAATGCGTAAATACTGTTTAATAATAAAATAAACGTATGGCGCACCTCCGTGAACACACACTACTGTTATATAAAGTCACCTCCGTGAACACATACTGCTGTTATATAAAGTCACCTCCGTGAACACATACTGCTGTTATATAAAGTCACCTCCGTGAACACATACTGCTGTTATATAAAGTCACCTCCGTGAACACATACTGCTGTTATATAAAGTCACCTCCGTGAACACATACTGCTGTTATATAAAGTCACCTCCGTGAACACATACTGCTGTTATATAAAGTCACCTCCGTGAACACATACTGCTGTTATATAAAGTCACCTCTGTGAACACATACTGCTGTTATATAAAGTCACCTCTGTGAACACATACTGCTGTTATATAATGTCTGTGAACACAGACACGCTGCAAAGCTGCATTATTGGAGAAGATCTGTACTCAAGAAGCCGCTAGCATAGCCCTGTTAGCATTAGAGCCGGCCAGCTACTTCCGGTACTTCCGGCTCTCGTCAGGACGTTCTAGTGTGAAGACCTCTGCGTCTGAAAACTAGAGAATGTGCGTCTGGTGAGCGGGGCTTCAGCGTTTCAGCGTTGGCGTCTGAACGCACCATAACACACGAGTGATGTGTTCCCTTCTGTTAAAACCAAAGAGTGATCCAGAGATAGACCAAAGAGGAATTACAGTGGAGAAATGTCAGTGTTGCATCGCCAGGCACAGAACAGTAGAAATGAGGAGCACACGGCACACAATAAGTAAAAAAAAATAACTTACATACTAAAATAATGTAAAATCTCTAGCTTTAGCATAATAATGAAGCTAGTATAAAATCGCTAGCTTTAGCATAATAAAGAAGCTAGTATAAAATCTCTAACTTTAGCATAATAAAGAAGCTAGTATAAATCTCTAGCTTTAGCAAAATAAAGAAGCTAGCATAAAATCTCCGGGACAAAGTGACTCTATAAAGTGAACTGTAAAATATAAACAGAGCATTCCAGGTACAGTAAACAATTGAACAAGAATCGCATTTTTTCCCGGTTAACCAATCACTGGATCTGGATGGCTCTTTCAATTCACGCTTACCAAAAGTAATCTACTTTTGTATCATTCCTTATCGGCCCTGGCCCCTGCGTTTGCGTATCGGTGCCGCAAATGCATTCTCCTCCGTGCCGTGTGCGCTCGGCTACTCTTTCCAATATCCCCACAATTTTAGATGATGGGATTACGGCGGTCGCAAATCCTGACTCTGCGTTTTTCCAGGTGCAAACAAAGCCAATTATACTCGTCCACACTGTCCCTCCCACGAGCGGGAGATAGCAACACATCCAAACACACACGGGACACACACACATCTCTATCCAATAACTCTGTACTGCAATAACAGAACACCTCTCACTTTAGCATAATACAGAAGCTAGTATAAACTCTCTAGCTTTAGCATAATAAAGAAGCTAGTATAAACTCTCTAGCTTTAGCATAATAAAGAAGCTAGTATAAAATCTCTGGCTTTAGCATAATAAAGAAGCTAGTATAAAATCTCTAGCTTTAGCATAATAAAGAAGCTAGTATAAAAACATTAGCTTTTAGATAGCTATTTGAAGACGGCCAATCACTGCACACAGACGTCCTCGCGCAAAACCTACGCCCTTGAATAGGACTCACGGAGACGTCATTTTGACTGCTCCCATTCAAATCAATGGGATTTTGAAAGATAGCAATGAAGAGATCCTTTATGGGTCCCACAGTGTAGAAATGTCAGTGTTGCATCATCAGAGGAGCACACGGCACAAGATAAATGAGGTGAAGAAGAGTGAGAAAAGTGGTGACCTTCAGAAAGATGCAGCACAGACACGAGCACACTGTAGAAAATGGTGAAAAATAAGTTTCAAAAATGCTTGAATTTGTCAAAATGTGTCTTCATCTGAGCACATTCTGACTGAGCCTTAAAACAAGATTTTCCAAAGGTACAAAGCAAAATGATCTTTTAAAAAAAATATAGAATTATCTCACTTGAAATCAGAAAATAAAGCAAGAGTTTTTGAATAAAGACTAAGGTCCTGGGTCTACAGCCTCAGTCCTCGTTCTACAGTCTGAGTCCTGGATCTACTGTACAGCCTCAGTCCTCGTTCTACAGTCTGAGTCCTGGATCTACAGCCTCAGTCCTCGTTCTACAGTCTGAGTCCTGGATCTACAGCCTCGGTCCTCGTTCTACAGTCTGAGTCCTGGATCTACAGCCCGTCCGTCCGTGTGGAGTGGATCCCTCTCTCAGTGTGGGTCTCTCTCAGGTTTCTCACTTTTTCCCACTGGGTTTTAGAGTTTTTCCTCTGATGCAGGAGTCTGTTGGACAGTTAGTGTCTAACTAGAAGGACTGTGATGATCCAGGACACTTTAACATTCTACAACATGTGTGACATTTATCAACATATGTTCTATATGCTTTATGTGTTTTAACCATAGACTATATGTATTAATGGACAGAGTCACGCCTATCTCTGCCGTTCTAACTAATGGGCCAAAAAATTTGCTCTACTGGAGCAATCCAAGATGGCCGCAAGTGGTCCCGCCCACAAGAAAATAAGTAAGTAAGTAAGCTTTATTTATATACCGCCTTTCACAGACCAGAGTCACAAAGCGGTTTACAATTGTTATTTTTGGGCACTTGTCTCTCACTCCACACAGAGATGGAGCGGGGTCGCCAGTACAGGAGGCGCATGCCAGACCTATTGGACATATTTTTTTTAAATAGTGAAAAAACGCATCTGCGCATGCGTCAGCTGTTGCAGCTCCATTCATTTGAACGAGAGACATCAAAAATTCACAGCAACTAAACTAGACTGGTCCAAAACACTCCCCTCAGCATTGACACACATGCCACACATGGGCCAAGAGCCAACTTTTGGTCCATCCTGTAAAGACGTTTTTGAGAGGTCTGCCGACGCTATATGTTAGCATTGGCTAATTCTTCTTCTGGGTCCACCCCCACAGGCCCGGGGTGGTATTGCAGCATGTCAGCGCACGTCATTTTGGCCACTTTTGAGCTGTGACCTGCCCACACCGGTTTTAACTGTTGATTCTCTGATCTGTGTTGGTGATTTCAATGGTTTTGTTCAGTCTCTGACATGATGCTGTTGTGATTTAGGGCTATACAAATATAAATTCTGTTGTGTTGTGTTGTGTATTTATGTGTTGTGTCCCGTTGGAGAATTTTACAGTATTTTAACAAACTCAGTGTCGGAGAAAGATAAAAAACACTCGATTCAAGCCATGAATCCCTAATCTATTATTACTCTTTGCAGTGTACAGACACGAGCCACAGAGAGAGAGACACAAACACAGAGAGAGAGACACAAACACAGAGAGAGAGACACAAACACAGAGAGAGAGAGAGATCTGACGAGGGATTATTCTGCAGAGCTGCTAATCAGAGGAAAGAAGGAAACATGTAGACGGAGGTAAAGAACTGAGCTGCAGGATCATGGAAGGACAGACCAGACCTCTGTGAGCGACACCGTGTGTGGCACTGGTTGGATAAATGAGAGTTCAGTGTTTAGGATTATCCTTTTAATTGGCGTTTACACTGAAACACAAGAGAAAAACGCACCACCACGCATTCCTCGTCCCCCCCCCCGAGCTGCCTCAACCTGCCTGCGTGGGTCCCCTGAGTTTCTCCTGTCAAAAATATCTGCTTATGTTCTTACACTAACTCGTGAAAATTAAACAAAAAAATAGGAGGTGGGGGTTCTTTCAGCGTTTTTGTTACACATGTCAATTATCATGGGTCCAACATGTGAGTCACGTACACGAGAAAACAGAGATTATCAAGACCAGAGGCTGAGTCTGGATGAGTCTCAGAAAGGTCTAACTTAAGGACAGTGAGGATCCAGGACACTCTGCTCCTTTTGGATCTATGTGTTTTTTATCAGTGCATGTCCTGGGTTTGAACAGTTTGATTCTCTGAGCTTCATCCATCCATGCATTTTCTTCCCATTAATCCATTCCTGGGTCACGGGGATGGCCAAGGATGCCGCCCAGTCCACAGAGCTCCAGCCTCTCACTGATCCTCCTGCAGGGGCTGAGTCCACAGGAGGACGGCAGCTCTGTGGAAGAGCCTTTCAGCTGGGGCTAAGTGTCTTGCCTAAGGACACAATGACAGCAGATGTGAGTGGAAGTCGGTGGAGAAGGTCTCAAGGTGGGCTCGAACCCACAACCTCCAGGCTCAAAGGCCAATGTTCTACCAACTGTCGCCCTTCTCGCAGATTCTCTGATCTGTGTAGGCAAATTCAACAGCTTCAATTCAACCACCACCCCGGTCTGAGAGGGACCACGAGCCCGATCTGAGAGGGACCACCACCCCAGTCTGAGAGGGACCACCACCCCAGTCTGAGAGAGACCACCACCCCAGTCTGAGAGGGTCCACCCCGGTCTGAGAGGGACCACCACCCCAGTCTGAGAGGGACCACCACCCCAGTCTGAGAGAGACCACCACCCCAGTCTGAGAGAGACCACCACCCCGGTCTGAGAGGGACCACCACCCCGGTCTGAGAGAGACCACCCCGGTCTGAGAGGGACCACCCCGGTCTGAGAGAGACCACCACCCCAGTCTGAGAGAGACCACCCCGGTCTGAGAGGGACCACCCCGGTCTGAGAGAGACCACCCCGATCTGAGAGGGACCACCCCGGTCTGAGAGAGACCACCACCCCAAAACACACATTCACAAACACACACAGACACACGCACTCTCTCTCCTTCTCTCTCTCACACACACACACACACACACACACACACACACACACACACACACACACACACACTCTCTCTCACACACACCTCTCCAAGTCATTTTTTGACAGGAGAAGAACATTGTAACTTGGTTAAATAATCACAAAACCACAATTTGCCTCAATCCGTCTCATTGTTTTCCATTTGCCCGAGAATCCACCGTCTCCGATTTCATTTCAAACAGAAAATCAATGACTCTTGACCGTGACGGACGACGGTGTTGATCCGATCTCCTCAGAGTCTGTCACCTCCTCACACGCCTCATCCGTCTGCTGTGACTTCGTTATCGGCTTCTCTCCTGCTGCGAGGACCAGATTGTGAGAGCTCTGTCACGGCGCCTCGGGTTCAGTTCATTTGCCGTTTGCAGTAAAACCACGTTGGAATACACGTGCGAGAGTCCCCAGTGTGCAGCAGACAGGTACAGGAGTAAAACGAGCTGAAAAAAGGGACAATATTTTACCTCTGGTGTATGTTTTTTTGTGTAGTGGGGAAACCGGAGCACCTGGAGGAAACCCATTAATGCATGGGTTGTATATAGACGCTTCACATGGCATCATTCATTCACTCCATATTACTACTTTAGCCACAGCTGCCCCGGGGCACACGGACAGAAGCAACCAGGGTGTGTTATCTGCGCCCTCCAACCACCACCATTCAAACACACACACTCACTTTTATACTCACACATATTCATACACACACACACACACACACTTTATCATACTCACACGCGCACACACACACAAACACAGTCATTATCACACAAACACACACACACACACATATACACATACATTTGTATGCTCACACACACACACACACACACACACAGATACACACACACAGTCATTATCACACAAACACACACACACATTCAAACACACGCACACACTTTATCATACTCGCACGCACACACATTCACACACAAACATTCATACTCACACACACACACACACATACACAAACACACATACTCGTTTTTGTTACCTGGTGGGTCCCTTTGACAGGGCCGTTCAGAATGGGACCCATAGACATAATCTTTTTTTACTGGGACTACTTTAAGTAATACAAAACAGTCAATAGGAACCAAACAACTATTTTAAAGGAATTTTATTTTAGATTTTTTTTTCGAATTGCAGTGATTCTATTTTTGACATAGAATTTAATGCCACTCCATGTCCGATGTCTAAGGTCATCTGGTGAGGCATTAATGCAGGCCAGGCAGTGAGACTTCCCAGGGACCTTTCCAGTCTGTATGAAAGGTGTCATGGTCTTCTCCACAGCCTTCACCTCAGATGCAGACCATGGCTTTCTTACACGTTCTAGGGAGAGAAATAAAAATATATTAGCAATATACACTCCCAGGGTTAGGACCAAGCAGCCTGGCTGTAATCCCCCACCTGGTACATTACCAGAAGGGGCACTGCCACTACCATGGGGTGCATCTGGATGAATGGTTGAAGGTTCTCCGCTTGAAGTTTCTTTTAGCCCGTCCGTTTGTGAGAGGATCTCTACTGCTCTCCCTGTCGCACAGAAAATAAAAATACAAGTGGCCTTTAGGGGAAAAAAATCATACATATTTTAATAATATCAAGAATTACCTTCAGGCTCAATTTGTATCTGGTCGAGGCTCTTTCCTTCGAATTCCGTCACTCTTCCCTGCTCCATGGCCATCAACACTTTGCTGATTTTGGCCAGCTCCAGTGTCCCCTCTGGTAGTCTGTAATATTGCCTGTGGATGCGAATGTCATGGCCGAGGAAGTTGGCAAGTATGTCCATCTCATTCTCTTTCATATTGAGAACTGTAGACATAGTAGCTATGTGCTTTCTAAGTTTGGTTGAGGATAGCATCTCTGGATGCACCGCACCACATTCTTTGGCTACCTGGCGTAGGGAGTCTGATCCCCTGATGTGGGTGTCTGCGCCCGGGCGGGAAAAGAAGTATGGGTTATGGTCAGAGATGGAACAGGCCCTTCTGTTCTCCACCAGCACCTCCATCGAAGCAATCATTTCAGGAGTCGGCACTTTCCGAATTCTTTTCCCTTTAATTTCAATGCGTTGAAAATGCTGACACAGCTTTTTCTCAAGTTGGGACAGTCCCAGAGCAATGTCAGAATGGATCCCAGTCTTACTTCTTAAGGTAAAGGCTGTCAGTGGCATCTTTGAAACCTCACCTTCCCTTCTTCGCTTGAAAATAATGACCTCACAAAGAGTCAAAACTGCCAGTTTAGACCAATGCTTAGACGTTGGCTCACTTATTAGGGTTTGCACATATTCAGGTCGACATACCTCAATATGTGCATGCATGGCTCTAACGCAGTGTTTTTCAACCTTTTTTGAGCCAAGGCACACTTTTTTCACTGAAAAAATCTTGCGGCACACCTCCAGGAGAAAATGTAAAAATGTATACAGTACTAATGTAAAAAAATATATACTGTACATACTCTGTGTGATATATAAAGTTTATCTTATCTTATAATGTATACAGTATACTCTGTAGCCTATATTCACAATATACAGTTATTCTCATCAAAATGCTTAAGTCCAGGCCTTGACATTAAGCTTTATTTAATATTTCTCGATACAATTAACAAGAGTTTGGGAATAAAGTGGCACTAACTGTGTGGAAAAAAAACTAAGAAAATCCACTCTCTGCCCAAATAGTCAAATAATAACTCACACAAAGAACATGCATTGTTAGTGCATGGGAAAAATGTTGGTATCCGAGCTTTAAATTCAGGAGTTATGGATGAGGGACACGGGAGGTCCTGAACGCGAGTCCATGGTTCTGTCCGGTCCGCATGTCTGTGGTTCTGTCCACTCGACTATGGTCTGCGCTCGGTACCCAGTTCAGAAGTGCGTTCGCGAGAGCTGTTGTACAAAAATTGTACATTTCATAGTTAAACCACTACAACGCGGCCACAGCTGCCCCGGGGCAGAGCGGAGGATGTTAATCCTGTTCAGAAACGGCATAATTCATTTTCAAAAACGTCTCTATCACTTTCACTTCTCACTCGCCACAAAGCTCTTGTCTCGCTCCCTCCCACATTTGTTGGTCGCATCCAATTTTACCTTTCTCGCCACAATGCTGACCTGTTACAGCCAGTGGTCGCATCCAATTTTTCAGTTTCAAAGTACTTAGCTATCTGCTGCCATCTACTGATTTGAAAAAGTATTACATGGTTACTCACAGTTCAAAACAAGTCACCGCTCGTCAACAGCGAATGCAGCTATTTTTAGACAAAGTAGACGAATTTCTCACGGCACACCAGACAATATCATACGGCACACTAGTGTGCCGCGGCACAGTGGTTGAAAAACACTGCTCTAACGTCCTCAGTCAGAGGGAGCAGGTCCATGAGTGTTCCACTTGGCTTGCCGGAGGGTCTATAGGGCAGCAGAAGAAACACAGACGTCCCACCTCTTCTCAAAAAGCAGCCGGCTTCGTTGGAGGTTTTTAATAAATAGTTCATCAACACAATGCTCCATTTTTGAGTCACATTCAAGAATATCTGCTAGCTTTCTGAGGCTATGGCCGAGTTTGAGGGCAAAGGATGGAGTCTTGTATTGATTTGTTTCCTCATCATATCCAGCCACAGACCTGACTGCATCAATCACATGGTTAAAGTTGGAAGGAATAAAGAAATCCTTAATTGTTTTCAGTTTCCCTGCAGTTTTTGCTTCGTTAATTAACCTACCGACTTCTCTCATTTTCTGCCTAATGTAATCATGCTTAGTCTTATCATGCCCGTGTTTTAAGTACAGGTGCTCTCCGAGTCTCAGAATCCCCTTTTCTGCTTTGACAACACCCGTGACCTCATCCTGATGCATTGCCGAAATTAAAGACCACAGCTTTTTGCTGATGCCCTCCGGTACAGGCTGGGCTAGGGAGCAGAGGGACTGGACCCTACTTCTACCTGGTTTAGTCTGGGCATCTTTCTGTGAAAGCCGGCACCTGGCCACATGCCTCCACAGCGACTTTCGCTTAAGCAATGCCCCACAGTCTATACAGTGCAAAAACTCACTGGATTTAACTGGGCAATTTGGCTGTTTAGCTGGGACTAAAGTTCCAATGCCGGCCTTTAAAACCTCCAAATTGTGCTCACGGTTTCCACTATTCCTGATCAAATCAAACTGAAGTTTACGTGCTTTAGATTTCACAGGTAGAGCCAATGCTCTGGCTACGTCACTTTCATTTCCATGTTTTCTCGTCAAATGACGGGACATTTTGTGGCAGGACATTGAACAGTAGAGGCAGAAGTGTCTCTTGCTATAAACTCGCCCCCCATTTTTCTTCTTTTGCAGCTGCATGATAACAATCTTATTTGCCTTTGGTTCGTCACTTTCCGAGTCTTGAAGAAAAGTGTTTTTGATTTTTCTTTTTCCATACTTTTTTACAGGTTTCTTCTTGACAGTTAAATCGTCAGAATCTGAGTCGACTTCATCAATTAGGGACTCTTGACTAAGCTGCACAAACAACAAATAATTTGTAATCATTCTATATAACAATTTGAAGTCATGACTTGTAGTCAGCACTTACCAGTGGTTTGTAAGCGTGCGCTTCAGTGTGCTGCTCTGTGATTGGCTGCAGCCTAATGAACCACACACTTGCACCTTTTCTAGCCTGACACCTGATTTCCTCTGTTGTGCTGCTCCATGATTGGCTCCAGCCTGCTGGACTGAAATTGCCCCAGTGTGCCCCTCCTTGATATCCCGCAACCCACCACCAGGGTTCCGACACATAACACACTTTTTTCAGGAAAGTAAACCTCCAGGGGTCCTTTCCATATTTTTACAGAGACTGCATAAGGACCGTTAGAAAAGCATTACCCATTGATTATTAAGCTTGGACCAGTGGGGTCCGGTGTTCGGGCCCCACCACGTAAAACCAGTCCCCATGACGTGAGCGGAATCTCAGGTTATGGAACCCAC